ATTGAATCAAGCATATAAATTAGAATGAACCAGACAGTAGGAACAAGATTTGTGCTTTCATCATTCTTGACTTAAATGATTGAAAAGGCACGTAATAAATTTCAAACGAACGTAACCAAACAGACACATAGAGGTGTGAAAAACAAAAAAAGTTTCCTCCAACCAAAAGAAACTGTATAATGAAAATGCGATTCTGAGTTACAGTTAAAAAAAAATCCAGGAGTACGTAGAGCTTCAGAAAGTTCTGAACACAAAGGCTTTGTTGATGTCAGTGTTGCTGTTACTGCTGCTTTCATCATTAAATGAGTGATCATCAGGCGCACTGCAGTTACCTTCAACAACATTCCTCTAACTATTAAACAGCACGCTCATTTGTTTCATGAAGGGAGGCTTTCTATTTTATTTTCCCTTCGTTTCTCAAGGATCAAGTTTCGGTAGTGTCAGCTGATCAGGGGCTCTATCGGTTGATAAAAACCCGACGAGTGATAATTTACTAATGCGCTGTACCACAAGACTGCAAATAACCCTCAAAAGAACATATCGCGCATGCTGCATTATCACATGTACGCCGCGTAAATGTTCGTCTTGCATACTACTCTTCTAACCACCCAAAGTCAGTTGTATACAGAACATCAACTGTTAGGTACAAGCTGATGTTTCATTTATCACAGTTTTCCAGTTTTTAACACTGCCTCTTTCAAGTTTTAGACGTTTCCAATAATTACAAAAATTAAACGAAAATGTTGCTTCTAACTCCTACGTACGTCCTACAAAGCGCAAGCCTGAGATCTTCTATTTAAGATCTTGGGAAATATGCAGTTTGTCCTGGAAGAAATAGTCGGTTGTATTGCCCAAATATAATCAACAGGTTACCCTTAGAAAGCAGGGTTTTAGGAAAACTTGACATTATGCAAGTTTATTGATCATGAATCAAGACAAAAATCTTGACCCTAATAAAGTTTATTTGTCCAAATATAGTTCAACTAATTCAGTAACGCGGGGTAAGCTGAAATCCTACAGCGGATCACAGCTAAAATATAGCGCTCCATTGCAAAAGAAGAATTTCTTCCAGGTTGAAGCCAGTAATGAAACTTATGCATCTAGAGGCTTATTTAAAAATCTTGACCCTAATTTGAGCACCAAGATTTTAGGTTAATGGTAAAAATTATTTTTTTTAAAAATGATTATGAATCCTTAAATAAGAGCGTGTTTTAGTGCTTCAAAATTCATCTTTTTTGGAATATCAATGTGGGAGAAATGAATTTTGGAATTAATGCTCTCTGTTTTCTAAATTTCTTTTACCATCCTCTTTTAATAATCTTTGATGCATAAAGTGTTCATGATATAGCAACTTGATTATTATTATTATTATTATTTTCCCCACTGTCAACTTAAAAAGAAGACCCTTTTTCATTGTCATTTCATCGATACATTTGACAATAGCTGATTACATATGTTTAAATATTTCATATGGAAATTAATGTAAAAGTCTAAGCCTAACCAAAAAGCACATGCATTGTTGAGTATAGATATATGCACGGGCAAACATAGAAGATACGACATAGTGAAGATTATACTCTGCTAAAAATTATTCATCATGGTTACCAGTGGCTTTGTATGCCTTACTAGTTGCATAAGATCATCACCAAACTGAGAACTAATTGTGATGATCGTTGAGTTTTTCATTTTCCCATTTTTATGTAAGTATTTATCTTTCTGCCCTTATCTATTGCATTTTCATCATGAAATTGCTTGCGGAGTATGACTGCAAACGTTATAAACAAAAACATAAGGAAATATCATGACTATAATACAGAACAAAACAACTTAGAATTCAATCTGTAGTTCAATCTCAAACTCTATAGTAGAAAATGGAAACAAAAAACAAACAATATTGATCGTCTCAAGCAGAGCCTGAACCAGCTTCAGCTGCGGCTGCTCTTTTCTTGGCGAAGTATTCATCAGCACGAGCAAGATTCTTCGCAACTGACGGCTTCACCCACTTCTTTCGACCAGGGAGAACAGTTAGAGTGCAACCAGCAGCCTCGAGCTTCTCTCTTGCTGCTGATGAAAAGGCTCGTGCCTTGATGTTCAACTTGACAGTCACATCTCCATCTCCCAAAATCTACAGAACAAGTTGCAGAGCAATGACATAGCCATGGAAATAATTGTCAAACAGAAGTTTGTATGTTCTTGCCTTCTTGGTGGTTATTATGCTGGTAGTTGTTTCAGACATCTTTTGAGTACTTTGGAGAGAGGTGTATTGAGTTAAATGAGAACATTTTGAGTCATATCAGAGGATAAATTCATTATGCTTTTAGAGGCACATGTAATGAGTTAAAATCAATATCTCGACCTTTGACAATAATTTGGAAACATTAAACCCACAAAGAGGAGAGAACCTTTAATGGTAGCCTTCTTTCTCTACCAGAAGGGTTGATTAAGCCCTTTGCTTTCAAGGATTCTAATGATATTTCATCGCCTTCCTGAAATCCAGCAGCTACGATGTCTTTTAAGTTAACGGGGACGTACTTGGGCAAACCTGCGCTCATACCTGGCGAAACAAAAACAAAAAAACAACGCACGGCAGAGCATGTTTAGAAACAGAAATGTTCCCTTTAGGAAGATACAGCAACATATCTTAGGAGTCACAACAAAGCATCCCATTCATAATTATCCGCAAAAGATGAAAGCACTGTTGGGATTTTTAGATCTCGCAAAAACCCCGAAAACCACCAAACACAGCAAATAGAATCACACGAGATTTAACGTGGAAAACCCTCAACAGGAAAAAACCACGGGATTGAAATCAATCCACTATCATCTCCAAATTACAATCTTTTAAACAGACAAAGATTGTGAAACCCTCTCCCAATATTGTAATCTTTTGTACGGACAAAAACTACGAAACCCTCGCCTCTCGCATAATATTCTTGAATCAGGCTACGTCCTCTGCTAACCCTAAATTACAAGAATAATGTCTCTCTTTCATTTACTTGGTTTTTCCTCCAACAATAGAAGAATATATATAGGGAAACCAAAACACTATCTCTAGCCTAACTTCCTAATTATAATTGGATCCAAACTCCTAATCATGATGGGACCCAATCTCCTAATCATGATAGATCTCTAACCCTATCTAATCCTCATGAAGTTATACAACGAATCAAAGACACAATCCCAACAAGCACCTGTTCAATGACACTAACATTTAGCTCGTATTTGAGCAGAATGATCAACAAGCCCCCTTCTGTCAGATTACCCTTCGTAGACAAATTCAGGATAGGAAACACAATCGAAATTGAATGTTGCGCGTACATCTGCATTATTCTGCGGCTGATTAGTTGAGCATACAGAGCTAGGTCGAAGCGTCACAGGCATGGGTGAGAACCTAAAGGCTCTTACTTCATAGTAATATAAAGAGTTAACAAGAGGCAAAAAAATTCACCCAAAATGCAAAAAAAATATTAACTCTTCTCACTCTTCATAGTTAGCCAGTTAGTTAGTTAATTAATTACCTCCAGCGATCCCCCGGAGCTTGGGAAGCCGGCGGTAGAGGGGCATCTGGCCCCCCTCGAACCCCTTGCGGACGCCGGGCCCCGACCTCGACTTCTGCCCCCTCATCCCGAACCCGCAGCTGTTCCCCTGCCCGGCCGCGATGCCCCGCCCCTTCCTCTTGGCCTTCTTCTTCGACCCCGGCTGCGGCCCGAGGTTGTCGAGCCTGAACCTGGCAGCGGGAACAACCGGAGGTCTGGCGGGCGGGCGACGCGGCGGCTGCGGCTGCTGCTGAGACGGTGAGGCGGGGTCTGGCGAGCCTGGTGAGGGGACCGCTAGGGCCTCGCGGCGATTCTGGAGTTTGAGGGCCCGAGTGTGGAGCCTCTGAAGGGGGTTTCTGGAGGGGGAGGAGGCCGGCGACCGGAGAGGGAGGGCGAGAACGGAGGCGGCGGACATTGGTTTTTTTTTTTTTTTTTGACGGGTTTTAGCTTCAGGGGGGTAGAGCGTGTGGATAACGAAGAGCGGATAGCGAGAGCTGGCTCGTACAATTTTGTATATTTCACTTGGAACGGTGTTTTTTAAAAGAACAAATTTTCAAAATGGCTTCAACAGAATTTTTTTTTTACCACATTTACTTTTAATTATAGAAATCGGTTTATTTTGAGTTAATTACGATACTAATTAGTCGGGTTGTCAACCCGACTAATTAGTAGCCTAATTACAAGCGGGGTCAAGGAGCGGGGAAGGTTTGCGGTTGCTAATTAGGCTACTAAGTAGTCGGGGTTGACAATCCCGACTAATTAGTACCGTAACTAACTCAAAGTGGGTCGATTTCTATAATTAAAATGAAATTGGGTCAATTTCTTTAAAATAAAACTCCGTTGAGGCGATTTTAAAAATTTCTTCTTTTTAAAAAAACAAACTCTATTAGACGGAAATGCCCCTTCTTGAATTTTGGTAGGGGGTAGGTAAGGTAAGAAATACTACAAAAAACGAGGGTAAAAAAAATATTGAATTTTCTCATGTGACCGGCACACGGATAGGGAGAGGGCTGCTCGTTTACAATTATATTTCACTTGAACGGTGTTTTTTAAAAGAACAAATTTTCAAAATGGCCTCAACAGAATTTTTTTTTTGACAACATTTACTTTTAATTATAGAAATCGGCTCATTTTGAGTTAATTGCGATATTAATTAGTCGGGTTGCCAACCCCGACTAGTTAGTAGCCTAATTACAAGCGTAGTCAAGGAGCGGGGAAGGTTTGCGGCCGCTAATTAGGCTACTAATTAGTCGGGGTTGGCAACCCCGACTAATTAGTACCGTAACCAACTCAAAGTTGGTCGATTTCTATAATTAAAAGTGAATTGGGTCGATTTCTTTAAAATAAAACTCCGTTGAGACGATTTTAAAAATTTCTTCTTTTTTAGAAAACAAACTCTATTAGACGGAAATGCCCCTTCTTGAATTTTGGTAGAGGGGTATGTAAGGTAAGAAATACTGTAAGAAATACTACAAAGAACGAGGGTAAAAAAAATATTGAATTTTCTCCTGTGACGGGCACATGGAAGTATTCCAGGGAATATTCTCACGGCCGGTTAAGAGAATGTAGTGACTTAGCATAGTTTTATCAACTCAATGAGATTTTTTTAGCTGTGTTTTATAACTTGGATATTTACGTGCTATAAGAGTGTCATGTAGCCCAAAAGTATAACCAATAAGCTCATAATGACTCGTTACAATTCTTTGATTCAAAACATAACCAATAAGCTTATGAAGAGAAACTAGGATGAGTACGAATAAGCGCAACAATCCGAATTGCAGATAAAATCACAGATATGAATAAGGGATAACTTGAAGATGATGATCAAACAAGACTCTCCCAAATCTTTGTTTTTACAATTAAAAGTGGGCATTGCTGCAATGTACATATCAATAGCATTTATGTCGCAACCATTTTTAATCCTCGAAACCCAACTATAATTGAATAATCACATTTCCCCCAAAGAAACTCAAATTAATTTGGAACATAAAAATTTTGAAAGCCATGAATCGTAGCTGTTTGGGAATTTCAGTCTTCCCGTCTACCACGATATGCGCAACTCGGAAGCCAACCCTAATCAATAAGATAGAACAACCACAATCAAGAAAAAGAACACCGAGATTTACGTGGTTCGGTCGACCAACTTCGACCTACGTCCACGGGGCAACAATACGAGAAATTCACTATGTATCAGGGAGAACTACAAGAGGAACCACTCAACTCTCGTCTCTCAATCTCTCAATCTCACATGCATAATCAACTCTCATATTCTCTCCAAAGCTCACTCCTTGTAATTTTTTGTACGGATAAAGACTACGAAACCCTCTCTCTCTCTCATCTACTACATCTCTACTTTTTTTCTTTATGGTTTTTCCTTCACCAATAGAAGAATATATATAGGAAAACCAAAACCCTATCTCTAGCCTAACTTCCTAATTAGAATAGGATTCAAACTCCTAATCATGATAAAACCCAAACTCCTAATCATGATAGAACTCAAACTCCTAATCATGATAGAACTCAAACTCATAATCATGATAGAACTCTAACCCTATCTAATTCTCATGAAGTTACACAAAGAATCAAAGACAAAATCCCAACAGTAGCGTCATAATTCCCACGACGAAAGTGTTGTGTATCTACTCAAACTCCAAGTTAGGATAGAGTTTTAAATTCTTTGTATAACTTCATGAGAATTAGATAAGGTTAAGGATTTATCATGATTAGGAGTTTGGGTTTCATCATGATTGGGAGTTTGAATCTTATTCTAATTAGGAAGTTAGGCTAGAGATAGGATTTTGGTTTCTCTATATATATTCTTCTATTGTTAGAGGAAAAAGAAGAAGGAGAACAAGAAGAAGTGTAGAGAGAAAGAGTGAGAGAGGGTTTGGTAGTCTTTGTCAGTGCAAAAGATTGTAATTTGAATGTGATAGTGGATTGATTTTGATCCCGTAATTTTTCCCTATTGAGGGTTTTCCACGTTAAATCTTGTGTGATTTTATTTGCTGTGTTTGGTGGTATTTTGGAGGGAGGGGGTTGCGAGATCTAAAAATCCCTACAAGTGGTATCAGAGCGGGGTTTGACGGTTAGTGGAGATTCGAGATTTGCAACGACATTGGTGGCAACGGAACTGTAGCAATAGCATTGTTCACCGTGGTACTGTAGCAACGGAACTGTTCACGGCGACGCACTATTTACGGTACTGTAGCGGTGGGTACTATAACGGCGACAGATCCGACGATTGAGGTTGATTTATCTTTTAATCGGGGATTTGAAGGCAGATTTCGGTGATCCAGGAGTCGTTCTTAGGGGTTTTCGACGTGCTGAGTTCGTTTTTGACGTCGGTTTTATCAAACAATCTCTACAGGGGCTAATTTAAATTTTGATCGTGGTTAGAGGATGATGACTTCTTCGAGTCCGAAGTTTGATATTCCGCTATTCAATGGCAAGACAAATTTTGCAGTATGGCAGTGCATGGTTCAAGATATTCTTGTGTAGCAGGGTGTTGATCAAGCTTTTGAGGAGAAGAAACCTGATGGATTGAAGGATGTTGAATGGAGTTCCATGTAAAAGATGGTGATTAGCACAATTCGTTTAGCACTCGCCCCCCGAGATCAAGTATAATGTTATGCAAGAGACCACACCAAGGGGGTTGTGGGAAAGGCTCGAGGGGATTTATGCGTCAAAGTCGATGACCAACCGATTGTGTTTGAGTATGGAGCTTTATTCGTTGAAGATGGAAGAAGGTACTATAATTCAAGACCACATCAATGCCTTTAATCAGCTAGTTTGCCAACTTATGAATATTAATGAGGAGATTAAAGAAGAAAAGCAGGCGCTACTCCTATTGTCTTCTTTGCCAAAGTCGTACAAGCCGTTAGTTCAGACGATAATTGGAGGGAATTAGACTTTAAAGTTCGACGATATGACAGTACTCCTACGTGAGAATGAAAGAATAATGAGAAAGGAGAGCGCATCTAATGGTGGTGAGAGTGCACTAGTTTTTGAAGGTTCTAATCGAGGGAGGAGTACGGGGAGATGTGACAGTTATCGGGGAAGGTCAAAATCTCGGGCCCGAGATGACAGCGAAAAGGAGTGCTATTATTGCGGAGAGAAGAGTCACATTCAGTTCAGATGCTCCCAGATACATGATAATTTGAAGAGTATTAGACAGATGAGGCTTCAAGAAAATGGGAAGAAGACGGACTCCTCGGTGATTGTGTGTGATGAAGATGTGGTTTTATTAATGTAGAGTATAAGTACTGATATGAGTAATACTTGGGTATTAGATTCTGCAGCCTCTATGCACGTTTGTAACAATAAAAATTATTTTAACACATTGAAGACAGATGAAGAATTTGATGACATGATTGTTGGAAACAATGAGAATATGAAGGTTGAAGGTGTTAGAAGTGTTGGTCTCAAGCTTCACACTGGGAATGTTAGAATTCTTCATCATGTGAGATATGTGCCAACATGTGGTGCTAATTTAATTTCGTTGGGTGAGATGACATCACGTGGGTATAAGTATGTTGATGGAGGAGAGTGGTGCAATGTGTATAGAGATAGCGATTTGATTTTGCGAGGGAGGAAGAATAGCAATCATATTTTCTATTTAGATGGGCAATCCGTTAATAGTGCAGATTACTCTTCTCAGACTATTGTCCACAAGGGAGAGGTGAAGAATAAGAAAAAGAGAATGAGTTTTTCTAAAGTCGTTGAGACACTTTGAGATTTTTCGTCGAGGGAGGATATGTTGGGTATCTACTCAAACTCCGGATAGAGTTTTTGATTCTTTGTATAACTTCATGAGAATTAGAGAAGGTTAGGGATCTATCATGATTAGGAGTTTGGGTTCCATCATGATTGGGAGTTTGAATTTTATTCTAATTACGAAGTTTGGCTAGAGATAGGGTTTTGGTTTCTCTATATATATCCTTCTATTGTTAGAGGAAAAAGAAGAAGGAGAAGAAGAAGAAGTGTAGAGAGAAAGAGTGAGAGAGTGTTTGGCAATCTTTGTCTGTGCAAAAGATTGTAATTTGAAAGTAATAGTGGATTGATTTTGATCCCGTGATTTTTCCCTGTTGAGGGTTTTCCACGTTAAATCTTGTGTGATTTTATTTGCTGCGTTTGGTTATTTTTTTGAGGAGGAGGAGGAGGAGGGGAGGGGGGGGTTGCGAGATCTAAAAATCCCTATAGAAAGACGGGCGCCTAGCAGGGCCGGCCCAAGCTTTTTTGAGGCCCTGTGCGAAATGATAAAATGAGGCCCTCTTCTATATAAATGTTGAACTATAAATTTATTGAATTATATTTATTTTACAAAAGAAATAATACATAAAAATACAAAAATTAAAAAAACGATGTTTTCGTGCATTTTTTGATGCAAAATCATCAATAATAGAATCTATATCTATCTTTCCCAACATTAGCATTATTGGTGTGTTTCCTAGTTAATAGGGAATAGTTAATTGGGAATTAATGAGTTCAAATTGAATTTCCTAAACTTGACAAATGAGCAACTAATCATAATTGTAGTACTAATTGGTGTATATTTCCGGTAAAATGTAAATCAGATGGGTCATGTGTGTTAGGCAGTTAGGCTTAGGCAATGGACATAAATTATTATTTAATTTAGTGGGCTAGTATTAGATTATTAGACCCTTTTTTAAACAAACAAAAGGCTTATTGGAAAGAATTAAGAAATACTATGGGCATTTTTAAAAATTTGGGGCCCCCTTTGAAATGGGGCCCTGTGCGGTCGCCCCCCCTACCCCCCCTCTTGGGCCGGGCCTGGCGCCTAGTAATAGAAACCATCTCTTTTTCTATAAAAAAAACCATAGTTAAAGAAAATTCTCTCATTTATGTACACATATGTCATTGCTCCTTTTATATCAAGGACGAAGAAAAGACGCAACTGTGAACTTTTAATCGCGTTTCAAACAACAAAAAAACTATGATAATATTGTGCTTTAATAAGAAAGCATGTGCTATTGTACCATTCTCTGCAGGTATAACAATATGGATCAACTTACATAAATTTTATTTAGACTGTAATTTTAATTTTTAACGATCAACTAATAATAATACCAGTGATAATTAACTCAAGGCCGACAATGTGTAGAGGCATGTAAACACGAGGAGAAGCAATCCTCGATCGTCTCACAACCAACTAGCAGCATTGACTAAAATACAGATCAGGGTCGTAGCTAAGCTAATCAATTGGATTATAGACGCCGGAGAGAGTCTCTTATTTTATCCTCGATCGCATCAATTCCTGTATGACTTGCCCATCCTAAGTTTCTTGCACATGTTTTTCTTGATTGCCCATGATTTTGATTCATAAGGGATTATACTTCTTATATAACTGTCCTATAGAATTTTCCGTCAAATTTGGAGCTATTATGTTCTTTCTAACCATTATGCAATAGGGAGGGGACACCTCACCTGTCCCCTCCATTGGTCCCATATTTTGGGTCCCCGTAACAGCACTCTTGTTTAATGAACCCATATATAATAGCAAGTACACTGAAGATATTTGTTTAATAAACCCATTATAACAAACAAATATACGTCAAGCTCTTTGGGCCTCTCTTCTGACTGCGGTATTTGCAACGATCCACTGCTCATCGGCAGCTTACGATCCACGGGAGGCTAGGAAGACGGAGGTTGTTGGAGCGGGGAAATTGTTTAAAAAAAGATGGATCCATCAAAGATCGTGCAGGGACGGATTTACACACAAGTGATATCAGTAAGAGGCTGTTTGGTTGGATGGAAGTAGATTTGTAAAAATAAATAGAGCAACCAGATTTATAAATACATTATTTAATTTGTAGCTTTGTAATTAAGAAAGGTAGGTGAACTTGCATTTTGTAATAAAATAAATTTGTTACGGCCAATTTGATGAGAAGAAAAGCTGCAAGATTTTTTTTAAAAAATTTTTAAAATAAATCTGCCTCACCAATATAAAACTTTTAAAATCCGAACAAAAAATCATCTACATAAAAGTTTTGTTATATGGCAAAATTATATAGCTTTTTGCGCTAATTGTAATTCAACCAAAAACTAAAGTTGCATTGGAAATACATTTCTTACAATATAATTGTAGGTATCCAAACCAAGAATTTAAAGTTGACTTCCTATAATAAGTATTGCATGCAATATTGCTGCTGAACTATTTGTTGCAATTTATTTTGCAACAAACCAGACGACCCCTAAAATAAAGGATAATTATAACTAAATTATAATTTCTAAACTACTCTTACACCATTAGACACAAAATGTGAGATTCTTGCACTTGGATTGCTATTAAAATTAATGAGTGATTATAGACCCTCATAATCCTTGGGTATAGTAGTGTAGGAATAGCTTAGAAAGTGTAGTCTAGTAATCACTACTCTTCTTTTACGTAACTAATTGTAGATATTCTCTACACTCAAGGTTGTAGAGGATCTCTTCCCCAACAAAAACATACAAAGCTTTTTCTTTTTTTCTTTTTTCTTTTTTCTTTTTTCTTTCTTCTTTTTCTTTTTTGCCCCCTCCTCACTTTAACCCTACTCATTTACCCTGATTTGCTTTTGTCTCGCACGCTTATAAGATCGAAAATTCATGTCATTGGGTAAAGAGTATTAAAAATTGTTATAATTCAAAATTGTATAAGTACTAAAAATTGTTATAATTCAATCTAATAAAATATAATATTTAAGAGTGTTATAGGAATAGTTGAAGTGTTGTGAAGCGGGGTTTATTCTATGTATTACGTACTTCCTAACTATATTTTTCTATTGTTGTCCAAACAGAAAATGTAGTGGAAGACATATTATTTTCACTGTTTTCATAAATGTGTAAAACAAATAAAAAAGTTACTTTCGCGACTTCTTACTTCATAATTTAGAAGTTAATTCTTTAATTTGCTTCTTACTTCTAATATCTTTGGTCATTCAAACGAGCCCATAGAGTCTCTTGCACCAAAACTTCAGAGTTATGCTTGGGATTGAGAGCTGTTTGATATATTACTGTCATTATTTCCTCATTTGTGCTTATGAGAGTTGTTTGACGAGTTGTTTGATATATGATTGTCATTATTTTCTCACTTGGGATTACCCTATGTAACCATCCGTGCTTATCTTATACCAAATAATGTATGCATGCGTATTATTATGAAGATGAATAAACAGAGTTCTTTTCATTATCGTAACAATGGTTATAACTTTATATCCAACAGACTTAATTTACCAAGTGAATATCATTTTCATGGGCCAAAAAAAAAACTAGACTCAAACAACAAATTTTTTTTCTTTCTAATCCGGTCTTAAATGTGTGACCGTTTGAGTTTAAATCTGGGTTGTTTTGACATTATCATTAAGTCTTTTTTTTTGTATTTAAACTTCAAACTTATAGAGAGGAATGAAGCCCCACCCAAACATAAAACATGCACGCACAAGAAGACACACTAATCTGTTGCGAGTGCAGACACGCGCATGCACGCACGCACGCACACATACACACTCACTCACCCATGCGCATGCCCACACAAACTGAATGTACGCAAAAGGGAAACCTTGCATCAAAATCACCTGAAATCACAGGTGATTCACAATGAAACAAATGCCTGTGTACTGTTTTTATTGCCTTGTAAGTCAAGATAAAATACACAGTAAAGACTACATAGTAAAAAAAATAAAAAACTAAGGAAAAAACATTTAACAATGATGGTGCCAGTTTAGATCAAATTAATTGTTCCAACTATACGATTAAATATGAGTCACAGTATTCTATTTAGTCCGGTCGAATTTAATTAGTTCAGAACAAGAATTAAAACTGAAATGATGCTTTCCATCATCGTAGATCAATCGGTCCTTATCCAACATTATCATCATCATCATCATCATCATCATCATCTATAACCATTTAATCATCCAAAACATATTGAGCTAATGGCATGAATATCATCTTCAATCATAACCGAAACGGAAAAAAAGAAACAAAGTTTAATTCCTGGATGCAAACAAGTCATAGTCTTAAAAGGCTATTTACTGAGTCTGCCAAACTTTCAAACAATTAACTAGAAAAGAACTCACAATCGAAAAGCAAAAGATGTAGGAACACTGGGGAAATTTAAATTTTCTACAAGCATTAGAGAGCACAAACCAAGAAGGGTAAAAACAAGAAGCATTAGAGGTAGCAAACTAGAGATAATTTAAATTTTCTACAAGCATTAGAGAGAGCACAAGACAACTTACGTAGAAAAACCCAAAAAATTAATTAGCGAATCCCCTGAACTCGTTCCGCTAAAAAACCTTGATTGACGCAGTTAGTTGAAAGTCAGTCATGTGCTTTGCACGTGCCGTGTTTTGACAATTTCACCCCAATAATGTACTTAATATACTTCCTATATTTCCCTCTTTCAAGTTATTAGGGTAGGTAGAGAGTAGCAAGCATTGTATAGACCTTTTACTCATTGTGTGAACGCCATTTTTTGACAATTTGCATAGTTCAAGAGGTTTGCATAAATTTTGAAAGTTCAAGGGGGTTTTCTCTATCCAATAATGTTTGGGGGTTGTGCTAGACATCTCAAAGTCCAGGGCTGTTAGGTGAAATTTACCCAAATATATCCTTATAACTGCTTGAAGAAATGAAAACTTGGCTTGAACTAGCTTGAACATAAGGTTCCACTAACAAAAGTATTATTGGCAGTAACAAGGATTCCATATAATACATTCACATAACACCCAGGCCCGGCCAAAGCTTATCATGCAAAACTAAGACAAAATGAGATGCATGAGAGAAAGGCCACAACACAAAAGATACAAGAAAAATATATGCTTATCTACTCAGCCTTTGGTTCTCATGATAGTAATGCTGCCCTTTCCACCTTCAGTGTGGATCTTCGTTTTGAGAACGACAGGCTTTCCAGAAAAAGCTGAAGTCGGAAAAGACGATGAAGGATCATCGTCCATCTTGTTCTTTGATCTTGATGGTGGCGGAGCATGAATCCTTTGATTTATATCCCTCAAAGTCACGTCTCCTTGAACTCCGCATGGTTTTATGAGTGCAAAAGGGTAAGCAACAGGAGTAACCAATTTCTTTGGAGTTCTAAGGAAAGAGGTCCTGCCTGTGAGAGCAAGAGATAAATGAAAAGTAAGGAGAAAGGAAGAATTAGATTTCAGAATTAAGTTTAACATGTTAGCATGGGAACACACCACCATAAGTAATAAGATTATCAGTATATCACAATTCCGATAGATTCTTATCAACAAGTATGCAAGTATTAATGCTAAGGGAAGTTAACTGTGTTAAATTTATTTTGCCCAACTCTGATGGTTATTTTGGGATAAATTTCAAAAATCCCCACCCACCCACCCCGAATAAAAATTTCAGGGCTTTTCTCACAGAACCTCCTGAACTTAGTTTCTCCCACTAAACCACCAAAACGTTTTTCACAAAAACCCAAAATTCCAATGTGTCTCAACAACCCACAGAACTTTTATATTTTCCCAGAAAATCCCCAAAAATTGTATCTTGCAATTGAAGGACCTTATTATTTCTTAGATTATGCTCTTTATTTATTTACTCCGGGGCTCATCTTCTCCCCTATTCCTTGTTACCCCCCTTCTTGGGGAGGGATTTGTGGCAAAAGTTAAAGGTTTTGGGAGTTATTTGAGACTCTTTACAGTTATAGGATTCCGTAAGAAAAGTTTTGGGTGTTTAGTGGGAAAACGAAGTTGGATAGGATTTCATGGGAAACGCCACAAACTTTTATTTTGGGGAGTTGTGAAATTTACTCTTATTTTTTCATATTGCTTTATGGTTTTCTTTAGTCACCTGAAAGGTTAAAAAAAAAGCTGGCTGTTTGCAGGACTCTTTTTCTAGGATTCAGGAGAACAAGGGAAAACGTTACTCAAGGAACACTGAAATGATCACAAAACTTATAAGTAATATTTACCCGCAGATGGTACATATAACATTTCCTTAACTGATGATGATGTGTACTTGTTGCCATTGATAGTGAGTGGTAAATGACAGGGTCCTGATGGGTGTTGAAACCTACTGATCGACGGCACAAAAGGGTGCCTATTGCAAATTGAGCATTAAGTAGTATGTGGCCCCATGCTCCAATGCTTTAGCTTTAGGCCATACTTGTATATGACAAGAAAAAATGTTGAATTATGGAATCAAGATTGTGTTCGAGAAGAATTTTTAAGCCAATTCGAATATATTGTCACTCCACTGAGAATGATATTTACCCAAACTGTAATGCTATTATGATTTGAATTTTCTTATTATGTGCAGTGTTTGGAAAAAACTTTTTCGAAGTTTGCTTTGAAGCTTTCTGAAGGATAATCTCTTTGAAACTTAAAAGAGTTTATACTCCTTATCACTTAAAGTATAACTGAAATGTGCATTTCACGCTCCACAAAGCTTTTTCCCCCCTTTTGAAGTGCACGCTTTAGACAACAAGAGAGGAGGCTATTAAAATTTCTGCTTCTCCTTTTTCTTGAAATTGAAAAGGCAAAACAGTCATCTTATCTAATCATACTGTATGTTTTCTTCTTTTCGTGTGCTCCAGAGCATAACTCTTTCTAATTATTCACTATCTTGTATGTTTATAAATACTTAACTCATGAGGCTCACACGTCATACTTTGAAGCTTATGCGTTGCTCCATAAAAGGGTCTAATGCTACGCCTTGCGCTTCCATTTTTTTTTAAATGATTTTGTGTCACGCCCTGGGCCCATCAAGCCCTTTCATGTCATGTAAGCCTAAGTTCCAGACTTCCAGTTAGTGCAAGACATTGCTTTTGCATATGAGATGCATCCAAACTTTCTGGATATTGTGATATGTCTTTAAGTCATGTACATTATGAAATAGCAATGAGAACTTAAGGTTTACATGGCCTACTATCTTTTACTCACACTCAGTATAGTAAACTGGTCTAAACAAAAGGACATAAGACTGCTTTATACTAAAACACAAAGAAAAACCATAGATATGATATGTAATAGAGAGAAAAATTTACGATACGTAATAAATAGGGAAGTTTCAGAACAGTGCATGGTTAAATAAATAAACATGTAGACTCGACATACCCTTAATAATCTTGATGGGTGAGGGATTGGGCGTCTCTCGCAGGGCATCTGTTTCCGTCTCATGTTTAATGATTTCTAGATAGAGGAGTTAGTAGATAAGAAACTTGTTATATAATAGTGACTCATATCCAGTAAGTACTAACTAGATGATTGAAAAGTATGGTTTCACTGACCTGAAGGATCAACTTGGTCATCGGTCACCATGCAATCATCCCTACAAGACACACCATGACGTTAAAGCTAAAATACACAAGGTAAGATGTAACAGAGTGCCAAAAAAACAAAAAGGTTTGAAAGGGAACAAACATCTCATTGAGGCTGCAATGCATCTCACTATTGTCAAGGCAATTTGCGAGCCATCCCTCTGATGCCAGATCCCAACCTTCAATCTCAAAGGTGCTTCCATCATCTATCATAGATTTGTTTATTAGCCCAACCAAAAAATCGATTGGCAAAATTTAGCTAGAGAACAAACCTCGAGTACTTGAATTCCAATGAGAATCCCATTCCGGGTTCTCCGATGCGCCATCTTCCATCAGTGAATCTTCACGAACCTTAACGAGCACAAAAAATGAACCTTAGACCTAAATAAGCTTTCACGATATGAAAGAGATGTTTCCAAGTACGTAGAACGAACCTTAGATTTCAGATATAAAGATGTAAAATGCCCGTGGCCAATGTCAGTTTCAGTAGAATCTGAAGTGAACTGAAGCATTCGCCTCCTTTTCATTTGTGAAGTCTCTATGCAGTCTTCCATTCCCTTGTTAGCATTATCTGAATAAGATTACCTCGTAGTTACAGAGAACTTACTATAATTTCAATAAAAAAAACTAGTGGATATTATAGTTGAAGAAAAGTACCTACAACATCGTAAACTTGGTAACTTAAGTCTGCACAATCCTTAATCGGAGTTTGTTCATCAAGCAAGTATATCAAATTGTCCTCATTTACATTCACATTATCCCATAGGCACTGAGAGAAGTCTTTGCAGCATAAGGGGGAAAAAAGAATAAGAAGCTAAATACAATGCAAAAACATGCATTCAACTAAAAACAAAGCAATATGTCATGCATACCATTTGTTGGAACTTTTTGCAGATAATAATCTTCTTCTCTCCATTCCAATGTATCACTGTTCATCCATTTCACAAAGCAAAGTAACATTATGAAAAGTTCCAGCAGTGTACTATTAATTATTCAATAAATTGCATTTTGATAAGCAGCTTAAAAATGCGAGCTTGTAAATAGTATGTAGGGTATAGATTTGCTCAAAAAAAAAATCAAAAATTTCACGAGAGAAAATAGGCATTTGGTTTAACAACAAGAGTATCTAAAAAAGTGGAGTTTTCCAAAAAAAAAAAAAAAACCAATTTCCACGGCCACCACCCACAGATTTTGACCGATTTTATTATATGCACTTAGAAGTAAAAACCCAATCCAACAGAACGCACGAAATCCACCAAAAGCAGTAAAAAAAATTATTGCCATAATTGAGATATCCTAAAGATTGGTACATCCATGAACACACAACAAGATTAAATAATGAAGCAAACCCATTTCAGAAAATGTCTACTTGCATCCTCATCCTTTCAACTTGAACAGAGAACACACTAAGTTGACCAGAATTAGGTTTAGAAAATACGTAGATAAAAAAATGGGGAGAAAAAGAAACCCACTTGCTGTCCATGGCTTTGCCATTAGAATCCATGACCTCCAACCTTCAAATTTTAGAGGTTAGGAGTTGTTAAACCCCAATTAGAAGCCTTAAACCTGATTTAATTAGGGTTTAACAACTCCTAAACAGTCGGGGTTGGCAACCCCGACTAATTAGGAAATGAGATTATGCTTACGTGGCATAAAACGGGTCGATTTTGGTAATTAAAAAAAAAATCGGTCGATTTTGATAATAAAAACTCAGTTTGGGTCTACAGTGAAAAATTGTTCTTTTATATAATGGAAACAAATATTAATAAATTACTAAAAACAAAAGAAACGCTCATTGGGAAATGGTGCGTGGAATGACAGAGAGTTATGGGATTTTATTCATTAACTACTTTCTTAAAACATACTTAATGAATCTAACCATACATTGTTAGATTCCCGGTCATTGGACTCCTACTTGTCATGTCGGTTTTGGATCCGATACCCGTTACTAAAAACCCAAATGTAAATACATTGTTTAGTTATATGTAATTATTATTGTGAAACTTTATGTCACTTGCAAATTCAGTAGTCGATTGAAAAAAAATTATTATGTGTTGCAAAAATTGCAATATTTAAAATAGGAAATATTTTTTATAATAATATTGATATTTATGTTTTAATTTATTTTTAGAAATCTACAATAATTTTTGCAAATAAAGTAGTTGCAGCATCTATTATATTTTCTCTATAACTTGTGGTCCTGTTTATCTCTTGAAATAAAAATATTACCTATAAAATATTAAAAATAGGATAATTTTTTACACTTAAATACCCTATTGCTTACTTAATATTGCACATAAATATGCTCAATTGTACATGTCTGCATTTCAATACCCTATAGTTTTTAAAAGTTGCACTTTAGTACTCTTAATTATGAAAATGTGAGAATTTTCCTTTAAATATTATCATGCAACTCTCATAAGCTATGTTGAAAACAATATAACCCTTATTTATTGCTAAATATATTTTTAAATATACCAAATTAATATTTTAAGATAGAATTAGGGTAGGTTTAAAGAGGATTTTGATGGGTTTTACCGTAAATTTAAAAAAAATAAAGATTATAATGGGTGCGATCATAACAGTATTAATGCATCGGATCCCTTCAGAACTCTACAGTTAAGTATACTTGGAAGGGAGTAATATATTAGAATTTTTATAGAGAAATTCTCGCGTTCGAATAATAGAGGGTACTATAATGCGTCTTGTAAAATTTTGAGAGCTTTTAAGTGCAATCGTTTGCAACTGAGTGTGGAACATTAGGTAAACAAATAAGATACTTGCCTTTGAAAATGCTAGTGAGGCAGGCACGTGCAAGGCACTGGAGACCATTTCTAGGAAATATGATTCCAAAAAATGAAATGGTCTAAATTAATCTGTTATTTATGTAATTCATCGATTCAGATCATCGACTAAAAGTGATATATACTGTAAAGTTGGGTTAGCTTCTAACAATATCGGTTTCAATAAAAGTAATGGCATCTTCACTTTTCATACTTTATTGCCCAAAACTCAGAAACGGGTTTCTTCTCCTACAAGAAGAGTAAATTGTTTGCGTTTGGCAACCGTGGCGTTTTTATCGTTTCTGTTTTTGTTTTCAACAAAAATAATAATACGCGTTTGGCAATCGGGGCGTTTTTTTGACTTGATTCTTTACAAAATCCAAAAAAATAAACATTTTTCTCAAAACATCAAAAAGGTGTTTTGAGATTCTATTTTTTCATCTAAGCAACGCCGCCTGCCCGCCCGCCGGCGCAGCAGCCCGTCGTCGCCCGCCGCCGCCTCATCGCAATTGCCGCTCGACGTCGCCGGTCACGCCGCCCGCTCGCCGTCGCCGTCACCGTCGCTGTCGCCATCGCCATCGCGCTCGTCTGCCGCCGTCACGCCTATCACCGCCCGCCTGCCGCCGCCGCGGTCGTCGTCGCCGCCCCGTCGTCCGCCGTCGCCGCCCGCCCGCCGCCGCCCACCTGTCGCTGTCCCGTCGTCCGCCGCGCCGCCGCTAGCCCGTCGTCACCACCCACCGCCTAGCGGGTACCGGCCGGCGTCGCGCCCGTCGGCGGTCGATGATCCGCCAGCCACCGCGGACCGGTGTCACCACCGGCCTGCGACGGTTCGTCGTCGCCTGTCAGCCTTGCCGGTCGCCCGCCCCGTCGCCCTCACCCGCTCGGTCGCTCGGCCACCTGCCGGCCATCCGCCGCTTGCCCGCCGTCACCGGCCGCCGACGGTCGTAGTTCGCCCGCCCCGTCCTCGTCCGCGCCATCGCCCGCCCCGTCACCGGCACCCGCCACCGACGCCTGTCGCCGTTTTAAATAATACTATAAATGGTGTTTCAAAACATTTTGGAAAAAACATCATTGGCATGCGTTGTTTCTAAAAAACACAACAAAAATAAACACTTCGATTACCAAACAACTATGTTGCATGGTTTTTTTTTTTTTTGTTAAGATGGGTATATAAGTACTTTTTCTAGAGGTTCTGTTTTATTTTTAGAAAAAATTGCTTCTAGCCCCCAACTTCCTTATAAGTATTCCGCCTACCCCTCAATACTTTATCAACACTCCCAAAACCTCCAAAAGTAAAGCCATAATTCTCTGATCCCCTAAAACACAAACCCCAAGAGTTTAAAACATGTGAAGACCATAATACTTCTTCTCTCTCTCCCTCTCTCTCTCTTTCATGATGTTACTGTGATGATTTGAAATGTGTTTTTTAGGGGGGAGGGGAATTCTAGTTACCTCCAAAATTTTCCAATGACATCAACATTAGCGGTAAAACTTTCCCGACGTTCGTCATCGGCGGCGAAGAGAACTGCGATCTTGAAGACGGTGATGACGAGTTGTGCACCAACCCTCTTAAGTTTACATATTATTATAACTTTTTTTTAAATTGATGACTTGAGATTAAAGTAGAGTATGCAAATTTATATATTATTATTATTTTATTGTAATTAGTTTATTGTTAAGCTTATGAGTTGGTGGTGAAGGAATGTTACATGTTAGTTTTGAAGTTTACGAGTTAGTTTTGAAGTTTACGAGTTAGTTGCCAATGGTACATATTGGTTTTGAATGTTACAAGTTGGTTATGAAAATTGTCACGAGTTGGATGTGAAGGTTACGAGTTGATTGTGAAGGTTACACGTTAGTTGTCAAGGTTACGCGTTGGTTATCAAGGATACGAGTTGGTTGCCAAGGTTACGCATTGATTGTCAAGGTTACTAGTTGGTTGTGAAGGATACGCATTGGTTGTGAATGTTACGGATTGGTTGTGAAGGTTACGTGTTGGTTATAAAGGTTACACGTCGGTTGTGAATGTTACAAGTTGGTTGTGACTAGGGGTGTTATCGGAGCGGATACGGTTCGGATATGACGTTTACCATATCCATATCCGCTTTTTATAAACGGATACGGATACGGATACGGATCACCCTCGGTAAGAAAAAACCTTAACCATATTCGCATTTATCGGAAACGGATACGGTTCGGATATTTAAGAATCGGATCGGATATGATCACGGATATAAACGGATATTCGACATAAATCTATTAGACATATAATCTTCATACAAAACCATCAATTGAAAACTAAAATTGAGCTAAAAGTAGTAACAGATCAATAAAATCCAATTTAACTAAGTTCATTTCTGGCAGCTAAAATAGTTAATTGCAATGGATCCTTGCAAAAGTCTAAAAGCACTGATAGCCCAAAACAAACTTGTGTAACATAACTGCAGCTACAACTTATTACAATACAGGGTTTATTTTCTCCCATTTCTCAATCATAACTATTTATTGTTATTTGATACACAATTAATATTTATTTTGCATGAGAAATTCGGATTTTTTGCGTAGAAAGCCCCAGGGAGCAGGTTTCGCTGTCAACAAGGGTAGACAAAAAATCCGATTTAATCAACAAGCGTAGAAAGCCCCAGGGAGCAGGATTGGCTTAAAAAACATGAAATGGACGAAAGTCGGGTAGACAAAAAACAGTGACTAGCTAGTAATGGTGTACAAATATCTTTGTCAATCTTCATGAAACATCCAGCCGACGACGACTTGTGATTAAATTGACAGTTGATTTTTGTTAAATGGCCCATTTGGAATTTTATAATTTGCAGAAGAGTACGAAAAAACCCCATATCATTGCTTGATCTTGATGTTTCTAGTTTTGTAGTAACTTGATTTGAGAGTTAGGTGCAGCTAAAAATGGTTACCCAATTTACACGAAAAGGTAGAGGAGGCGAGTGGCGACTCAGTCTTCGCTGACTCTTCGCTGGCGAGAAGGTAGAGGAGAAGAGATCGCCGGCTGTGAGATCGCCGGCTGTGAGATCGCCGGAAAATCCCGCCGCTCCGTCGCTGGAGAATCGTGGAGGTGTGGGCGATTTGAGAGTGGAGGCGGCTTGAGGAGTGAGGGCTGAGGGTGAGTGAGGGCCTAATCCGCATCCGTTCGGATACGGATGCGGATCGGTTCGGATATATCCGAACCGTTTGGCACCCCTAGTTGTGACAGTTACAAGTTAGTTGTGAAGAAATGTTACATGTTAGTTTTGAAGGTTACGAGTTGATTGTGAAGTTTATAAGTTAGTTGTCAATGGTACATGTTGGTTGTGAATGTTACAAGTTGGTTATTAAAAGGTTACGAGTTGAGTGTGAGGTTACAACTTGATTATGAAGGTTACGCGTTGGTCGTCAAGGTTACGCATTGGTTGTTAAGGATACGAGCTGGTTGTGAAGGTTACGCATTGGTTGTCAATGATACGCGTTGGTTGTCAAGGTTACGCATTGGTTGTGAAGATTACGCGTTGGTTGTTAAGGTTACGAGTTGGTTGTGAAAGTTAATTAATAACAATCACAATCAACTCATTATCGAGGTTCAAACCAACTCATAACATTCACAACGCGTAACCTTCACGACCAACGCGTAACCTTCACAATCAACTTGTAACATTCACAACTAACTCGTAACTTTCACAATCAATGCGTAATCTTGCCAACCAATGTGTAATATTGACAACAAACGCGTAACCTTCACAA